AAAACAGAATTGATGATGGGTGGCTCAAGACTTTTGCACAGTGCTATATAATAGTAAAAACATTTTAAAACAAAAATAAGTAATGTAATGACTGTCAAGATATCTTTTAAGGATACTTGGAAATAAATGTTAATTCTGCAAAAGCTGTTTGTATAGAGGTACCACAAGAGTATTGTCATGCTCTACTAATCCACAGGTCGGCTTGCCTGTGATGCTGCAGAGGAGACGCAGGCAGGGTGCCGATTCGCCTCGATGGCCGATGGGATGGCCTTCTGCCGATCTAGGTGGGACAGGGATCGTCATAGTGATCGGCTTGTGGAATTTTCTTCTCCTCGGCTCTACAGTGACAATGGGGCTGAAGGTGGCTCTGTTGCCAAGGACTGCCCTCACCATGTCGTCTGGCACAGGCTGGGCCTAAACAGAAGGCCAGGAAGATGTACAGAAATATTTGGCCGTTAAATTCTGATCACTGCCAAGTCAGGCAATTTTTAAATATTCTAACAAATTAAGGGATCTAAGCAGTTGAAAGGAATGATAAGGTAAAGAAACAAATAAGTGCATCGTCATCATACAGACCAAACTTAAGTGGGCATTAAGAGTCCTACTGTACCTGCAGGCCAACACGGATCTTCTTGGTGAGAGCTCCTGGGGGGAATGAGGCCTGGACCATGGGAACAGTACTGCTAGAAAGTACCCCTCCATCAGGACCCATATGATTAGATTCCTGCTTAATCCGCGACACCACAGCAAAATACTGTGGAAAATCTCCAGTGACGATGCGGCAAATGCGCTTCTTCTCCAACTCGGCAGGACTATCCATCTCTGCGAGATGAGAAGAAGAATTTCACACACACACACATACATATATATTTATATATGTGTTTGTGTGTGTGTACTTATGCACTCATAAACAGATATTTGCAACAGATATGCAGTATATATGTTTGTGTAATTTCCATTTGTAGTTTGAGTTGATCAATGGTATTTCTGCAGGCTTTGTCAGCTTGCAGGTAATCAGCCCATAAAAAAGCAAAAATAGGACTGGG